TTTGTCGAGTTAGTGGTATAAGTTTGTTTGTGACGTGTGTGTGAACCTAGCTAATCATTGTACAGCAGATCAAAAATAAAAGAGAGTTCTTTTCGCATGCAGCTGAGTTCTACAGTTCCTGATAGTTTTTAGCAATAGTTCTAACGTTTTTACCTTGAAAAAAGCCGATTGCCGAAATGATCTGCTAACTTCCCGTAGCAGATCATTTGACAGCAAATCAAAAATAAATGCCTGTTCTTGTCGGATGCAGCTTAGTTCTATAGTTCCTGATAGTTTTTAGCAATAGTTCTGACGTATTCACCTTGAAAAACGCCGATTGACGAACTGAACTTCCCGTAGCAGATCATACGACATCAGATCAGAAAGAAATGCGAGTTCCTTTCGCATGCAGTTGAGTTCTACTGTTCCTGATAGTTTTCAGCAATAGTTCTGACGTTTTTACCTCAGAAAATATTTATCGACAGAAAAAGGTACTAACTTCTCGTAATAGATCATTTTGCTGAAGATTACAAGATACAGATAAGAGAGTTCTAATACGAATTCATAATCTGCCAACACAACACCGTGAGTTCTGGACTCGAATCGAGTTGTATGTCGGAGTTCTGATACAAATTCATAAGAAACGAAAGAGTTCTAGCCTTTAGCAATAGATCCAAAAGAGTTCTAGCCTTTAGCAATTATTTGAAAACATGAAAAATGAATTTTTCGGCTTTTAAACAATCTACCATGATCTGCTAGCACCGGAACGTGAGTTCTGGACTCGAATCGAGTTGTATGTTGGAGTTCTGATACAAATTCATAAGAAACGAAAGAGTTCTAGCCTTTAGCAATAGATCCAAAAGAGTTCTAGCCTTTAGCAATTATTTGAAAACATGAAAAATGAATTTTTCGGCTTTTAAACAATCTACCATGATCTGCTAGCACCGGAACGTGAGTTCTGGACTCGAATCGAGTTGTATGTTGGAGTTCTGATACAAATTCATAAGAAACGAAAGAGTTCTAGCCTTTAGCAATAGATCCAAAAGAGTTCTAGCCTTTAGCAATTATTTGAAAACATGAAAAATGAATTTTTCGGCTTTTAAACAATCTACCATGATCTGCTAGCACCGGAACGTGAGTTCTGGACTCGAATCGAGTTGTATGTTGGAGTTCTGATACAAATTCATAAGAAACGAAAGAGTTCTAGCCTTTAGCAATAGATCCAAAAGAGTTCTAGCCTTTAGCAATTATTTGAAAACATGAAAAATGAATTTTTCGGCTTTTAAACAATCTACCATGATCTGCTAGCACCGGAACGTGAGTTCTGGACTCGAATCGAGTTGTATGTTGGAGTTCTGATACAAATTCATAAGAAACGAAAGAGTTCTAGCCTTTAGCAATAGATCCAAAAGAGTTCTAGCCTTTAGCAATTATTTGAAAACATGAAAAATGAATTTTTCGGCTTTTAAACAATCTACCATGATCTGCTAGCACCGGAACGTGAGTTCTGGACTCGAATCGAGTTGTATGTTGGAGTTCTGATACAAATTCATAAGAAACGAAAGAGTTCTAGCCTTTAGCAATAGATCCAAAAGAGTTCTAGCCTTTAGCAATTATTTGAAAACATGAAAAATGAATTTTTCGGCTTTTAAACAATCTACCATGATCTGCTAGCACCGGAACGTGAGTTCTGGACTCGAATCGAGTTGTATGTTGGAGTTCTGATACAAATTCATAAGAAACGAAAGAGTTCTAGCCTTTAGCAACAATTATTTGGATAGATGACACATGAAAAATGAATCAGATCATGATGAATTGTTTAATAGTCAAATAATTCATCTTTCCATTTTTCCATCCATCCAAATACTTGCTAACGGATAGAACTCTTTCGTTTCTTATGAATTTGTATCAGAACTCCAACACACAACTCGATTTGAGTCGAGAACTCACGTTCGAGTGCTAGCAGATCATGGTAGATTGTTTAAAAGCCGAAAAATTCATTTTTCATGTTTTCAAATAATTGCTAAAGGCTAGAACTCTTTTGGATCTATTGCTAAAGGCTAGAACTCTTTCGTTTCTTATGAATTTGTATCAGAACTCCAACATACAACTCGATTCGAGTCCAGAACTCACGGTGTTGTGCTGGCAGATTATGAATTCGTATTAGAACTCTCTTATCTGTATCTTGTAATCTTCAGCAAAATGATCTATTACAAGAAGTTAGTACCTTTTTCTGTCGATAAATATTTTCTGAGGTAAAAACGTCAGAACTATTGCTGAAAACTATCAGGAACAGTATAACTCAACTGCATGCGAAAGGAACTCGCATTTCTTTCTGATCTGATGTCGTATGATCTGCTACGGGAAGTTCAGTTCGTCAATCGGCGTTTTTCAAGGTGAAAACGTCAGAACTATTGCTAAAAACTATCAGGAACTATAGAACTAAGCTGCATCCGACAAGAACAGGCATTTATTTTTGATTTGCTGTCAAATGATCTGCTACGGGAAGTTAGCAGATCATTTCGGCAATCGGCTTTTTTCAAGGTAAAAACGTTAGAACTATTGCTAAAAACTATCAGGAACTGTAGAACTCAGCTGCATGCGAAAAGAACTCTCTTTTATTTTTGATCTGCTGTACAATGATTAGCTAGGTTCACACACACGTTTGTGACTACGTACACGGTAATGTGGTCCTGGAAAATGTTGTTATCAATTTTTTTTTTCAATGTTTAATTTATTCATACAGTTCCATATATACTCTTCCTACTGGATACAAAAATTATGACTATATATTTGTCCCAAAGGTGCTATGATCATACACAGATGCTTCTAATTCGAACTATAATTTTTATGATGAAAACGCTCGGTTACGATGGCCTATCGTAAAACACGTACTTATGATCGTTAAAGCAGTAAAAATGGTCTTAGTATAGAATAAGCTCAATATATGAGTCTATAAAAAGTAGGGAAAAATAAATTCTTCTATGTAATATTGAAGAAATTGCCAATATGATAGTTTAGAATTACATTTTTTTTCAGTTTTTATCTCAATAACTAGCAACTGTTTTCGACCGAGATGTTTACATTTTTATTGGTTCTGTTAGATAGTTTATATAATAAAAAAATAAATACTTTGACGGACTACCTATATTAGTTTCAAAACAAATTTCATTCATACATATAAAGTTTTCTAACATGAGCATTGTAAAACCACGTCCCAGTTATGATGGCATGACGGGCTCGAGTGTGACGTGATGCAACCTATCAACATGTTTTCATTTGCAATAAAATTCGGGAACGCCCCCGGGTGTGCCGATGAAATTTCTGAAATATACATTCCAATAAAAAGAAAAGTGTTCTGGGAGACGTCGAAAATGTGTCCGCATTTGGACAAATTTGGGTCGAATATAACCTCGAATGGAGAGACTGAACGATCCCTTACAACCCTAATATAAAATCCAGTGAATACCTCTTTTACATTATTGAATGTACACGAAATAAGTGAATGCAATTTATTATAGTGCACTTTATTAAATAACGTAAACGCTACATAGTAAATTATTGTTTTATCTCAAACAATTTGTTCTAGATTGTTCAATGACGAGACATCTAATTGCCTGAATATTTCATGTAATGTAAAAACTAGTACTCTCAACCGTTTACTATTAGTCAGGCTTTGCATAACGCGCACTTCTTTACTTTGACACGTTGATAAATGGAAGACTTGAAGGCATTTAATTCTGTAATGGAGTTAGGAACATTTTAGCAGAGTTCTCATTTTTACATGAACTTTAATGATGTTGGAATCCTAAGCAAGTTATCTAATGCTTTTAGAAGATTTTGTCGAAAAAGTGAAATGTTTACGGTCAATTTAATCTGGTAATTTAAATCTGTCGTCTCACACAGTTACCAGTAACGAGTCGCCGAGCATTGGCGACTTTTTGTTCGCAAGATTAACGACAAAGTATGGGTCACAAAAAAAGCGACGCCAAGTACGGAAATTGCCAAAACTTCGTGTCGAAGCCTGAAAATTTCTTGTTCTAAATGTCGTCGTAAATGAAAGATGGCTCTTTTAAAATCGGAAAAGAAATTAGGAACAGACGTTTTTAGGATTACGAGTTTTGTAACAACTCAAAAGTTGCTTTTTATTTTTCCGCAAGTACATTAGAATGAGTCCCTTTTGGTGTTCTATAGATAAGTATCGCCGTAACAAGCCCGCAACTTGTATCCATCGCGTCGTAATAAAGATAGCTACTCAAATGACACTTAAAACAAATAATTGTCTCAAGCATTTCGTTTAGATTAACTTTTGCATTTTAAGTAGAAGTCTGTGTTCATTGGCTTGAATAACGTCAAATACTTCATGAATATTTAACATCACTGTGTAATATTCAATATTTGATTTTGCGGTCTGTAATGGTTTAGTTATTTACTTATTGTTGTGATAGACAGTTAGGTACTGTTACATTGAATTAGAATAAATGATTGCAGTTTAGTTTATAATGTTGCGGTCATGAGTAGGCACCGCAGCCCTTTCAATTCATCCGGGCACGCGCCGGTTACGTGCCGGGCCTGACAACCGTACAGACATTACCGCTACTATAAATATGTATATAACACGTCCTTGCGCATGCCGTAACGACGACATTATAATATGAGCGGAACCGTTCCGGGATTCTGTGTGATAAACGCTTATGGTTGTTCAATGGCGAAATACTTAAAACGACAATGACACAATGAACCAGTGCCGCTCGCTCACTATTCTGTATTCAAATAGAAAGAATGAACAAAAAAAGGCCGAGACGGATTTAATTGAATTTTCACTGAAGAGTGACAAAAGGAACAGAAGTGGGCTATATTGATTTAAATTTTTCTCTGAAGAGAAATAAAATTGCCCTAGGCCGTGTTAATTAAACGGCGCGCACATTTAACAAAGATCAAGGCAGCTGGCTCCTAATTTCGCTATAAACAAGTGGAAAAAATGCGGAGGGGAGTGATGTTGGACGTTAAATCAGGCTTACATATGAAAAGTTACGCAGAGGTTGTTTCCTCGCTGTGTGGGCAATGCGGCGTCTCGCGGCTAATGACGAGGCCCGGCCCACAATATATCTCTCGTAGTTAGGCGCAGAAATCACGGCGACTCGCACGCTTGATTGAGTTTTCTTTTCCATTGTACTTCCATTAACAGAATAGCTTTCTTCTATATGTTCCCGGGGGACGCCTTGTGTTCTGGGAAAATTATATCGGCAATTTTTCTTACGTCTCGAGATAGACAGCTGACAAAGATTTTCGGCTTTTATTTTATGTTATTGATTACTTATTCTACCTGCGTTAATAGTCTTGAAATAATAGATGGCTATCATATCACTTGAAGGGTATTTGTCTGGTATTTCTGAGAATCAGTTGTCAGAAGATATCAACTTCGCAATTATAACTTTAGTATTTGTGGCATTTATTGAAAGAGTTTTAGTCTTGTTATTGTGAGTAATTATTGTTGTGATTTTTGCCATTGTTTATTACTGTGATAGTAGGCACTTTTAATATTATAAGTTACATTTGTTAAGATAATTGAGGTAAGGGTCAATATAATCAGACAATATGTTATACTTATTACAACTGCATTGTTTTACCTAAATTGAGAACAAAGACTTTTACACAGAAGACCCATTTATCTTTTCGAAACCAAGTAGCAAACCGACGCCTCTAGTATCTATTATCTCCTTTTAAGTATCTACAAGTAAAGTGATTTAATTTTAGCTAGCAGCAAAGAAGGGTCGGTGCCTAGTTCTAGCACGAAAGTAAACGAAAGCGGCCCTGAGTGCTCTTGTGGAGGTACAGTCTAATTAACGACGTATCTAATTATACCAGCTTCCAGCGAAGAGAATTTCCCAAATTACGTATTACGAAACGCAATTACACTTAGGGGAAATGCTATGAGACAAATTGAGTTATATTGTAATTGAAATAAAAAATGGGTTGAAGTGTGTGTAGTTAAGTAATTAATGTGGGATAGTGTTGTTAATTATGTTATCAAGATGATTGTGATGCGTTGTTGAATGTGTTAAAGGATGTTGTCTTGTTTGAAACGTGATGTTCTGTTGTTTTTGGTTTAAATACAATAGAATATTCGGTTTTTATTTTATGTTGAGATAGGTTAAGTTATGTACAATTATATGGTGGTAAGCTATTAAGGTTTTAAAATTATTTATCTATTTATTAACATAAATGTCGTGGTGGCCCGGAGGTTAACCCCGCTTCTCATGCATGAGGGTTTGGGTTCTAAAACTGGCAAGTACCAATGTGACTTTTTCCGAGTTATATGTACTTTCTATGATTATTAAGACACCACTGACATACGCTGAAGGTAAACATCGTGAGGAAACCTAGACTTATAATTTCTAATTATAAGTTTGAAATCGACAACCCGCATTGAGCAAGCGTGGTGATCAATGTTCTAACCTTCTAGGTATGAGAAGAGGCTTTGCTCAGCAGTGGGCACTTATAGGCTGATGATGATGATGATAATTTTATTAACATTTACAAAAGTTTTCCAAAACGGTCAAGTAGTTTTGAAGCCTATTCAAGATATTCAGAGGAAAGATTTGTATTTTTTATGGAAAAAGTCAGTAAACGAGCATACGGATTGCCTGATGGACACCCGCGTCATCAAGGGAGTTACGAGTGCGTTGCCGGCCTTTTGGGGATAAGGGTTGCGGATATAAGGATTGGGAAGGGATAGAGGAGGGGGAGGGATTGGGCCTCCATTATTTATTTAGTTACATTGTTTTTGTTTAGGTATTAATTTGAATATACAAACAATCAAATCCTTCCTCTTTATAATATTTGTAAAGATACAGTGGTAGTACGTCTATACCAGGTTTAAAAAATTCAAAAATGTTGGTACGTCTACTACACGTCATTTGATTTTAAAATATTGTCCCATTTTAGTTAAATGGGTGATTCTCCAAAAAACCTTAACTTTTATTTAACAAGTCATTATCCTCCCAGGTTTTTAAGCATCTTAGTAATTTATTTTATACAATATTTTTAATCGGTTGCTTGTAAGCAGTGGTGAGATTTAATTTAATAAATTAATTATCTGTGTTTTAATCAGCAGACTCGTTAATTTTCGGTTGAGGATAATGACACTATTAAATTTTTTTTAATTGATGTGAAGAATCACCCTACTAGTAGATAGCTCTAACAGAGGGCGATTTTTCTTGCAATCGGTCTGACACCTAACTCCATGTATCGTTCTCTGTACATAATGTATGTATTTTATCGTCTTTGTTGTACTAGTTTTGATTTTAGTGTCGACTATAATGCACCTGGGTACCTAATGCACCGTAGACAATTTACTGAACTGTACTTATTGTTATTATTATCTTGTTCAGGAAAAATACTAGCATAATATGTATTTTATTGTTTTATACTAAAGAGAAATTAGCGATCAATTGTAATATTTCTAAAAAAAACACTTAAAAGGTATTTTTGAGCGGTGTAGAAAGAAACCAGTTTTGTTTATAAAATTGATTTTTCTAGGGTTTTTAATAACACGTTGACATGTTGTATATTTCATCTGATCTATTGAGCAGAGCTTAATAAAATAAAACAGTTTTTCATAAAAGCGAATAAATTTTCAGACAATATAAACTTATATTTTTTTATTGACTGAGACAGAAACCAGTCTTGGAAATCTGTTTTATAGTAAGTTGCGGTAATGGTTGTAATATACACAACACAACATTTTTACTTCTCATAAAATGATAACAAATGACGATCAACGCCCAGAAAATTGTTGAAAAAAATATAAGTAATATCTAGATTCCTTTTAAGTTTCTTTCTTACACAAATTCAAAGAATAATTCAGGTAGCTTATCAAATAAATGAATAAGAAAAAATCAAATCATTCGAAACAATGCTTTGCCTGTCATACAAATATATTGTTCCCTCACTACATGAACTGGCAAACATTTGAGCGTTCTCAATGGTCTTGCTTTTTTATTTCCATAGCTATCGTTCCCTTTGTTTCCAAGTGCGTCTCTGGAGGGGTCGAATCAAAATTCACTGTTCGGACACTGGACGGGTTTAGGTGCTCAAGTTCTGCTTTGGAGAGCACATTAAGCGCCTGTCCCTAGTTACGGACGTAACTAGAAATAGCAAGGAGTCAGTTAAGTGAAACGTTTATTAAGGCAATATAATTGTCTTAATCTTATTCTGTTGTGTGTGCTAGAGTGAAGGGAAAATGGACATAAAAATAACCGTAGTAAAAGACAGATTGATATTTATGCGATTTTCACAATTCGTCAAATCGTTAAAATGTGCTTATTTTTATTGTACGGTAATTAATAGATCCTTTGGTATTTGGTAGTTCATCACTAGGTACATAAAAATATAGTCGATTTCTTTGTCCTTCGCAAGACTAAACATTTTGATGTAGTTTCTTTAATAGATAGAGTGATTGAAGAGTAAGGTTTATATGTGATGCGATTTCATAAGCGATGTCGCGTAGCCGCGTTGTAGGCTGCACGACATCGCTGCGTCCGCGCACGCTGCTCATGAGGAAGAACCCCTCTGTGGTTCGAAACTAGTAGAGCTTTTCTCAATTACACACGTGAGTAACCCGCGACTTTTAATTAATTTAGTATGTCTCACGATAGTTATTATAAAAAAAAGGTTTATAAATATCGGCATTGCAACCTTGTGCAGCCGGGGCGGGTCGCTATATATTTGTAGACATAAAAATCAAGACCTTTATTTTTAATCACAAGATTTGCAAGAGTCCATGAAACTGTACACAAGAAATGTCAGTTTATAAAACCAGCTTATTAAAATTCATCATACTAACACGAACCATATCAAATCTCACCGTCCGTACATGAAAATATAAATGACAACGGTACTAAATACACAGCGGCCTCGTTTGTTACGTACGCATGTATTCTCAACCAACAATGTTCTTTATTATAACAAGCAGTAATCACAGAACGCTATGATTGCCAAAACCCTCCTCTTTTATTTTCTTTTTCATGTAAGCTGGAGCTTGAAAATTGCACCATATAATAGAACATGGTTCCTACCCTAATCTCCCCCCGTACGTTTAGTACCATTATATTTCATTTTATTTTTTCCGCCGCCATTTTGACATTTCCTAAACATCAAAGCTTGTCATGACGAGATATTATCGTGTAATTTGTTCTATTTGTATTATAAAGGGAAATACTGATTGACTAAATAATGAGTGACATATCAGCGTGATTCGATTTAGATTAATGGGTTTAGGGAAGTCAAATTTACTAAGAATTTATGGGTGAGTAATGCAAATAAAAAGAAGGTGGATTTTTCTCTTAAAATAAAAAACAAAAATAAATTAGTGTGCAACGTATTAGCGAGTTTGATTGGCGTATTGCATCGTTCCTTTTTTCCCGCACAAATATGGATTATTTTATATATATTATATACATTACACATTCTCAAGTAATGAATGTGGCGGAAACTAATGCATATTTCTAACGACCCCGAAAAATACATTAACACATTGCATTCTCAATTTTTATAAATGCACGTAAAAAGGATTTGATAATCTTTTAATATCGCACAGAATTTTGATGTAATCATAAAAAATATCTTCAAAATGCTAACAACTCCACAATTTTAAGTAGAAACCCTTACGTGCCCTGTATACTTGATACGTTACTCCTTGAAGATATTTTACGTGATCTTTCATATTTATTTACCAAAAATGTCATTCGCCTCTGACCAGTCAAGATTGCTGCTGTCTGATGCAGATGGCTTGTGTGACCATGTTGAAATATTAATCCAGCAGAAGTTATATTATTTAACATGAAACTTTTCAAAACTGCCAACATTATTATTAAGTGAATTGGGAGACCCATGCTTCGGCACAAATGGGCCGGTTCGACCGGAGTGATACTACGGCCTCACAGAAATTCCACGTGGAACGAGGTTTATTTTAAGACGCGAGAGTCCCAAGCCAAAAAGCCATCGAATGACTTTTCCCGTCCTTGGTAAGGCGAGGGGAAATGTCCGAATTTTACAAAAAGCTACTAAAAACTACCACATTACTACAATGTTAGGGTTTTTTTGACGGGGGAAAATCATCAATTGTCTTTTCTCGCCCAGGGTGAGGCAAGAGGGAGACAGATACCCC